GCACTCAAGTGAGTTTAGTTCAAAGAAAATGCTTGGCCACTTATCTTTCGTTTCACTTTCTCTCCAACAATCTTTATCTTGTCATCTTTCCCGTCCGACCTGTTCAATCATGATACTTATCGGTCTCTGTATCTGCTGGCGGCACGTTGGGAACATTTTGGCTGGAGTGACGATACCCTTGTTACTATATCTCCTACTCAGCACTTCCAGAATAGAATAGATCTTTACGAGCCCTGGAGAGAATTTGTCATGCGCATAAAGAGAGGGGTCAGTGCACAAAATCAGGCACAGTACATGCTGTACTGTCCTCATCCATTACATAAGCTCGTTATTTAGGTGAATCCGCTCTCCAAAAAGCTGGGGATAAACTCCTGCTATTGTAGAATTTAAATCCAGGCAGTAGCGTTCATTTTTAAGAGTTTGGTGCGTTTAAATTGTATTTGACTGAAAAATGTGTGTCCAGTAAGCTCTGTAGGAGAGAGTGGGAGGCCCAGATACATATTTGACTGCCAGGGTTCACTAATGGAGAGTTGGAGAAAGGGGGCGAACGAGAGGGGGGATGTAGGCTATAGTCTCAGTGCTAAACAGGAAGTTACACAACATCTGTTCCTTGGCATGGTAGAGAGGGAGTGAATGGCCAGCTGTGTGTTATACACTGTGTCCCCATGTAAAAAAAAAGTGCTACATCCAGGCAGACAATTTGACATTCCTCTCTGTTTCCCAATTCCTTGAAATGTGAAGGCATCTTGCATTGCTCAAACTTTCCATTTCCCTAAAATAGAACCTATGCTTCTCCTATCGAGTGCAGACGAAACTAATGGCTGCTGCTAATCACTGGCAGAGGTTGTGCCTCACAGCAACATTTCAGAACTATTGCCACGTATTTAGCAAGTCGTTCTATTTGACTTGCAACAACGCCTGCAAACTGAAGGCACAGGCACAAACAGTCAGAACGATATGTTGTGGACACAAGCAATTATTTGACAGACGCAGACACATCTATGCAAACAAACTATAAGATATGTTCCTCGGACAGCTACTGCCTGAGGGCGAGTCAACGTGTTTTCATCTCACAGTGACAAATGACTACCTTATTTGTGTCTTTATTATGAAACAACTGTCTCAAAAGGATTATAAAAGCAGGAATGACACCATGTAAAAGTAAAATGTATATAAAGAAACAAGTATATTAAAGGTGGGGTAGGTAAGTTTGAGAAACCGGCTCGAGATACACTTTTTGTTATATTCCATGGAATGCTCTTAACATCCCGATAGCAATGAATATCTTAAGTGCTTTGACAAAAAATCCATAACAAAATGTCATCTGTGGAAGCCGTAGTACTGTAAAAAGCACGACCAATCATTTTAGCCGGCTCGGCTAAAATAACTGGATGGCCTACCTGCCTGTCAGCCTTCCATCTGTGCACAAACTTATCTCGTGCCCTCATTGGTCATGTGCGCGTTCGTGTGTGTTGGAGGAGGGGCTCTATAAGGAAGTGGCAGATTTTTTCCGGCTGTGTATTTTCAAATTCTAGCGATCTCGAGCCGGTTTCTCAAACTTACCTACCCTACCTTTAAGAGGCCAAATGCATTTTTCACACTGTATGAACTCTTCCTGGTATGTCTCCACCAGTCATTATCTTTTACAAGTTCAAACTCAGACACGTGGGAAAGTACATTCACTACTGTGTATATCCAAACTAGTAAAACTAGTTCCTCCGCACATGACTGCATCACCAGGACTTCGAGCGCCAGCCAACAGCATATGGATGTTTTATGATGAGAAAATGATAAAGCTGAGGTTAAAAATGACTGAAGTGGGTCTTTGATTAGAGGTTACATTACGCAATCATTACAACAATCAAGCCTTTTAGGATTCCATTCCCAATGAGGTTATAAGATAAGAGCGAGAACATAAATAAAAAGGTGCTTTTTATCTCTGTTGGCTCATAAGTGAGTCCAAAGCTCTCTGCATTAGACTGGGAATGGCAACAGGGAATCTTTGCTAATATATCATGGATTTTCAATTGGCATTGAACTGCATTTCTGTTAGAAAGATCATTTATGGCAACATTAACTGCCATACAAGGTCTTTTTTGCAGATGTATACTTTTTATCTTAATAAAGATTATAAAGTGAGTGTTTTAATCGTTATATCAGTTTATTTATTGCTGAAAAATAAGAACATGAATTTAGTTTGAACCTTAAAGTAAACAAAACACAGGTGCTGTTCATCGCGTGCCATGCTACCCTACACACACAAACATAATGTGACATTTAACTGAGGACATCAGCGTTGGGCCCAGTATCACACTGTGTATCAGAGTGTGTGTGTGTAAATGTGTGTGTGTGGAGGGTGCACTGACAGAGAAGCAGAGGCGTAGGCATTTTCTGAGCATTCACATTAGTCCAAATGTGCATATGGTGGCATGTCACTCTTCATCAGTGACATTTTGCTCAAAGAAAAAACGTTTTATTCATATCTTTGACTCACCGTCATAAGCCCAGAGAGGAGCTGCTTTTTTTTAATACATCAGTCTACATCACAACACCAGCATTTACAGCCTGTGGCGTTTGTGTGTGTGATTGAGTGTACGATGCGTACTGTACATTTAGTTCCTTAAGCGGCAGAATGTATGTATATGTTGGTATTTGTTGATGATGACTGAATGTCCTCATAACTATAGCACATGCATGAAGTTGCACACCATGGCGGCCTGTTACTCAGTTGACTGACAGCTTTCCTAAGTAGTTCATCCATGTAAATGCCAGCCTGTCAGTTTACATCAATGGATGCAAAGCAAAGTCAGCACTCTCTGACCAAAATCTAGACGGGCTTCACTCACATGTTGCCATATTTACACCTCACTGACTGACCAATGGCGCTGGTAATCTCCAATATATTTTCAGATTCTCAGATATGTAAATTCATATGGTACCTCTCTACTTCTGTCACTATTATCAGAATATTTTACAGGTCTTTTCAGCCACTCATTTTGTAAATAAATGCCTGTGTGCTTTGTGTCTTTTGGATGTATATATATAAGGTTTCTGTTAGTTAACACTTTTGTACATTTAAAATTTATAAGGTGATAATATGTCATGCCCAGGCCATATTTCAGCCACCTTGCTGAACTGCTGCTACTGCCGGTCCTTTCTTTCTAGATTAAGACTGCCTTTTTTAATGTCCATCAGTGTTTCCGCCAGACCAGGGCTGAGAGGGCGTCCACCACCGAGAGTGTGACGTCACGTCGTGTCACGTGACTTGAATTTTGAATTGAGCCGTCCCTTTTATAGATACTGGGTGTTTCTCAATGTCGAGTACGCTTGCTTGGTAGCACATGTCTTCCGAGCGTCTTGCTTCAGAAGCGAGGCAAGAATACTTCCTAGCATTCGGAAAACGAAGAGTGGAACAGGCGAGCAAGTGTGCAGGTGTGCATCATGAGAGGCCCCACCTTACATTTTCCGCCACAGATTTGGGGAAATTGGTCCGTGCGCAAAGCATTGTGGGGATTTTAAGACCGCGGAGTCTATACATGTGCAGCCTCGAAATTTCTCCAAACGAAGTACGCCGGGCTCGGTAGAATTCCAAGTATGCTGGACATTGGAACAGTACTTCGGCGGCACTCGATGACGTAGTATGCTTGAAATAGTGGCTCTGGAGCAGCTTTACTCGAGATTGAGAAACACCCACTAGCCGGCTCTTTCAGCTCCTAAACGGCTCTTCATTTTACTTTAAAAAAAAAAAAAAAACTTTATTTTAAATTATTTGGGCAATACATAATATACAAAAGTTACATTAATAATACACAAAACACACAATGCATAAATATATAATATCTTCATTTTACCACAGTTTACCACGGAGCCTCAGTTTCGCCGCTGCGAGGCTCCGGCACTCGCAGTTCACGCGCGTGCTCCACTAGCACCCCCCCCGTCAAGGCTCGCCGGCAGTACACTTTCCGTCACAGGAACACGCTTTGCTGGCGACGAAAATAATCCCACCAGACTCCTTTGCCCCTCCAACAAAGCAATGTCCTTGTCCTTTTTCCTTTTCTTATGATTACATTTTTCCACAGGCCAACAATAGCTTCAAAAAAACAATTTCCCTCAAAGAAAAAACCAAACATGCCCTGTTGTCTCAAGATAAAAAGTGCAGAAGGAAACATCCATTGAAACTCAGTGTGCTGCTCTGTGATGCTAGTTCAAGCCAGATACTTGGCATCTCATCTTGGGTGCAAGTTCATCAATGTTTGGGGTCAGGCTCTGAGCTGAGGAAACCCTCAGGATTGAGTGAAGGTGCAATATACCGGCGGGCCAGATCTAATAGTAATTAGAAATTATCCTGCGGGCCGAAATTAAATCCACCAAGGGCCTGATTTGGCCCCCGGGCCTTGAGTTTGACACATGTGCTCTAGAAGTACGGACATTGAAACAGTAGAAATGTTGCTGGTATGATGTCAATATACCATCAATAAATGTCACCTCAAATCTCTGGATGAGCTGCAGCCGAGCTGTACATTGAGTCGAGACCCAAAGGCCCTACGTAGCTGTGTACATGACAGGATGTATGATTACCTAGAAGAGCATCAGGACTGATTTAGGCATATGATAGCTATGTGATTAACATGATGATTCAGCCTCTATGGAGATAGACATATGACTGTAGCTAATCTGAACTAAACATTGTAACTGCTTTGAACCGGTATACATGTATCTTGTGACTGTGTAACTCCCTATCTTGTATATCAGCATGTGAAGGACACTGTTCAGGAACTAGTTGTACCAAATGCTCTGTATGTGATGACTACTTCCATTCTTGAGAGGATAATAAATACATGTTTCCTGATATTGAAGCTCAAGCCGATGACGAGTGATATTTTTCTAACAGTAATAATGTCTGCTTTCAATTATATCTAGGTGTATGTAATCAACTGGTAACTCAAATCTCTTTATCTTGTATCTCCCCACCGTTTAACAAATTCTTCCTTCTCTTCCAGACTCTTCGGGGCCGATGACCCACACTCACCCTCCTCCAATGGGAGGCATGGTGGGCCACCCGTCAGTCATCAGCTCCTCCAGGCACTTACCGTCCCCGATGTCGATGAACGGCCTGGCCTCGCCCTACCCCGTCATCACCTCCTCGATGGGCTCGCCCTCCACGCCCAACATGAACTTCGGACCCCTCTGCAGTCCACAGGTGAGGAAATGTGAGGGGGTTTTTGATGGTCATCAGATAGAGATGGACTCTGTCTTAAAGGTCCCCTATTATACTGTTTTTCATCAATATATTACAGTGGTGAACCGTGTCTATCACTACTGGACCGTCTGTAGACACACGTATACCTTGGTTGAAGGATATTCTTCCCAGAGACCCAGACAAATATCTGATTGGTTGCATTTTTTTTCTAACACAAAACCACTCAAATGCGTAGTGCGTGGACCAAGAAGTACAAACAAATCAACGTAACACTGTAATATTACAGATCAACAACGCAGATACGATTCTCATTTATTCATTTTATTTCCATTTATATAATTAAATCGATTTTTTGTTTGTTTTATCTGAGTGTCCCAGGGTATTCTCTGAACACCTTGAAGGCCCTGACGGTTCACCACTGATATAGGTCTCAGATATATACAAAACATGTCTCTGAAGTGTTTGGCTCCAAACACCAAACAGATAATTGCAGCATTACCCATAATCCCCTCTGTTTCAGCCCTGTTTCAAAAGTGCTGATTCTCTGTCTGTTACTTTAGATGAAAATAAGGAGCCCCTCCCCACGCCCCTCTGAGAGATATTTGGTTCAAAAGAACACAATGGTGCTCTAGGAGGAGATTCAGGTGATAAGGTGCGGGGGGGTTACCTTGGTTGGTGATTGGCTAATGGTTACACAAGCCAAAAACAGACAGGTTTTTATATAAATCAGGATCAGGACAAAAAGTGAGCGAATCTTTTTTCCTGAAACTTTCAGAATCTCTTTACACAGAGGGGACACATGTTTATTTATAAAATACATGAAAACGTGGATTTTGCACAATAGGTGACCTTTAAAATGCTCTTTTTTAAGGAACTATTATGTGTGATTTTCACTTGAAATAAAATGTTGTAATTCACCCTGTCACTTTAACCGCTTGTTTTTACCATCTCTTTTCAAAGTAAGCTTCTTAGTTAGTTCAAACTAATTAAAACAACATTAAAAAAAACATTAAAAAACCATCCAGAAAGATGATAAAGTGAGTGTTTTTAATGGTTATAAAACAGCAACAGAGGTTCACATTCCTTTAAATTACCACTCTCTGCAAGCTTCGTCCGTGTCCAGCTATCATGGTCTCTGGCCGATCACGTGCTTCTCATTCTCAACCTCCAACTGCGGACAGGAGGTTGAAGGTTAGGCATATCCAATGTGTTCGGCTGGCATACCTTGGCTTTGCTCTCTCTCCCCTACCCTTCTGCTGACCTTTAAACTTCTCGCCCTGAAGGTCATCCCTGAGTTCTGTGTTACTGCTGTCATGCGAGGGGACTTAAGACGCAGGCCGTCTATTAGCCCTTTAATGGATTACTGAGAGAAAGAGGAGAATAAGGAGCAGCGGCCATTTTGCGCACTCTCTTCACTTGTCAATTTTTCTCTAAGTCTCCTTTTATGGTTCCTCTTTGGTTATGATACTTAAGTTCTTCATGAACAGCGCCTTTCACTGTGAGCTGCATCTTTCAGATCGGATGAATACTAGACAAACGCCCTTAAGACTGCCCTTTTTTACTGTCTGGCACAAAGACTTGGAGGGAGAAGGCTAATGGAGCAGCTTTCTTTAAGTGGTCTTTTGAATGATCTACAAGCCCCTCAGTGCTTTGAAGATCAGCCGCACATACAGAGACACACATGGAGTGAGTGCTTCAGCTGCTGGATCAGGGCCAGTGCTGCAGGGCACAGCAGACAATGATATACATTGGTTCAATCACAGTATGGATCTGTGCCTTGAGGGGCGGCCATGGTTGATACGATTGTGTAACCATCTTTTCACCGCTCGCCAACAGCCAGCCATCAGGCTCCCATCAGGTCAACGTGTCATGAAACATCTTGTTCATGGGTGAAATGAAGTTCATGAGCTGGGCCTGACAGGAGCAAATTCAATATTTTAGTTGTACATTCATGCTGGTTGTATTTTTGTTTGCCGCTATCATCTTGTTCATTGATTAGTTGTAGGTATTTCGCTTTAACTCCATTATGAAGTAAATGCTGATTGCATTTCAGATTGTCTCCCTATTCGCTCGCTTTCACTCTCCAATATGTGTGCCAACGCCAAATCACCCGACAAAGCCAGTTCAACTGAATGCAGTGTTACTTGTACAGTTCTTCCAAATATTTTACAATTAAAGTTGCAAATGTGTGCCTTCACTCTGCATGTATTTGCATAAAGCTTAGTGGTTGTGTCAGCTAGGGAGAGACAGCAGGTCCAGGATCAGAGGGGGAGTCCCCATGCTGCTGCCAGAAAAGCCGTTGAATGTGAGAAGCATTAGGATTGTAGATATTTGTTGCTTTTTCCCTGATGGTTTGAATAAGTTGCTAAATTTAGGCTCCGAGGGAACAGAAATGGATCTGGTCTTACTGGTCTGGTTTTTCCACTTTAAAATGCATAATCCTTATTTTCTGAACTTATAAATGGATAAATCATATCTCCATACAATTGAGTAGTTTGACTGATAGTTAAAAATAAAGTGTCTTGTTTTTCTTAACTGATAATATGAACATTTGTTTGACCAATTTTGTTTGCACTTCATTGTAAACAAACATTGTACCAACACATATTCAATATTAAAGGGGCCCTATTATGCGTTTTGGAGTTTCGCCTTTCCTGTAGTGTGTGTGGTTTGTGTGCATGTAAATGGTCTGCAAAGGGTAAAATCCCAGAGTTTCCTCAAGAGGGACTTTCTCTCCCACACACTCACACTAGAATGAGGCCAATTTAAGTTATGTTTAACTGGTTTGTATCGAAATATATGTGATGATAGCCCTCCCCACTCATGTGCTTTGACTTCCACATACTGGGCCAGGGGCTGAATTTTCCAGATGAATTTCATTATTTTATCAATGAATTGATTAATCATGCAGCCCATGAAGTGTATGGAAAAAGCTCAAAAAATGTTGACATACACAAACTGCCTTTTTTTGTCGGATGAGCAATCCAAGACGTTTAGTTGCATATCAGATACAAGTGGTAAATGCTTGTCTTGCCCATTAAAGGCCCAAGTAAACCTTTCATGTATGATGCAATGCAGTCTTCATAGCATGTGTTGTATAAAGAATGTATGATGCATCAATAATCCATATTCACTGCTTGTAGCACTTTTCTACATTAGTATGCTCTCTGTCTAAAACGACAACTGTTTGAATTCACAACAAGACTTATTTTTATTTGTGATTATTTTGTTGAAGAGGAATATATGCTCTGTATTGACTCACATGTAAGTACACAGGGTGCTCGATGCTAATGTAAGTATGACTTCCTGCCTTTGGGGGCATCTATAGCAGAAGACGGTGGTGGCGGTTTACAGAACGAGTCTTCTTAAGAAAAACTCAAGAGACAGAAAAAGCCTTTGTATGATATCCTCTGCTGTAAGGTCACAAGCCCAAGTTCACTCTGCCATTAGAGCAAATTCAGAAGAGAGTGCACATTGTAAATAAGTGATAAGAATCGCCCGAGGTGACTGCAGGAAGGATGCCCTATATGCTACGCAGCATCGAATAGATAGAACGGGAGGGCATGTGTAGGTCGCGCTTGTTGTTTCCGCCGGCTGTGCAGATGTTTGCAACTTAACAAACTAAAATGAGAAGCATAAATATGCATCCGGCCTGGCGTTCATTAGCAGGAAAGGGTCAAAGAACGCAAAAGGATGATAAGAGCGGAAGAGAGATATGTAAAAGTCAACGAAATCTGGACTTGTTGCTCCGTCCCAAACACGTGTCACCCCTTATTTAGGAGATTTTCCTGAGAAGTCACATATGAAATGATTTATGGGCATCGGAATCACTTTAATTAAGGTTTAAATCGCTGTTTCCCCATTATAAGAAACTGATGATTAATGAAGACAAAGATTTGGATTGGTGAAAAAATCTGTCAGCTGTTTTTTCATATTTTTCCTAAATGTTCCCCCATTCTCAGAAAGTGGACGACTAGAGATTAGTGCCCTCTGCTGTTTGTGTCTGAGAACTGCACTTGACTACTTTCATACACCTCTCCGTGTCCACAAACCTGTATGACAAGCCTCTAACAGAAGCCTCACCCACTAAGTCAGCATCATATCACTTTCACAATAAAGTGTGTGTGTGTGGGAAGAAGAAGAAATAACAAGAGTGAGCGGAAGACAGAAGGACAAAATAGAGGAAGGGGACGAGTGTCATGAGACAGCTCAACACTTTTCTCTCTTACTTCCTCTCTGCTTCCTCCTCGCCTCTGTTTGCTCAGTTCTGGCCACCTCAGCTCAAACACTTTGTCTCTCTTCCTGTCATCCCCAGATGAACTCTATGAACAGCGTCAGCAGCTCAGAGGACATCAAGCCTCCACCAGGCCTGCAGAACCTGGGAAACATCAACTACCAGTGCACGAGCCCCGGGGGAATGTCAAAGCACATCTGCGCCATTTGTGGGGACCGATCCTCAGGTAATGTTAGAGGGAGAGGGGGGGGAGAGACACTCAGCACAAACATCTCCGCCCAGATAACTGAAGGACAGATAGCTCAGACCAATCGATGTCAAGGCTACTTTTGAGTCAGGTTTATTAGTGCAGAGTTGATTTGCTCTTTGATCGTTTTGATTGTAAAACTCTGAAAGGTGTTGCAACATTTCTGAAAGGAACGTGATTCATTTCCTAGTGTTACTGTAACTGTTGTTGTGTGAGTTTGATTTTATTTAGATTTTTATTTGACATCTTTGTAAAGCGTCTTTGAGCACCTAGAGATAAATACAATTTATTGTTTTTTTAAATTAAAGAATACTTGACAAGCCTTTTTCTACAACATCAACAGGAATATTGTGTTTGATTTACAACTGTTGAGAAGCTAACTAATCCCCCAACACACACACACACACACACACACACACACACACACACACACACACACACACACACACACACACACACACACACACACACACACACACACACACACAACAATTGACTTCCTGTTCCCCAATAAGTGTAAAAAGTTGGCTTTTTTTATATTAGTGAAAACATTTTAAATATCCGATTGGCCTTAAATTGAAACTTTGAAAACAAGACCACTGCTGCAACCACACATCTTAAACACGCAAGGCTATCAACACTACACAAGTTTTAATTACTAATTTAAAGCCCCTTCTAATGGAACAACTTACATGTGTTGAAAGATTACACTTTGGGTTCAGACATCAATAAAGCACTACTTAAGGTGGTAAATGATATTTATATTGTTCAGGCGAAACACCACTTGTAGTGCTGCTTGTTCTTAGTGCAGCCTCTAGTTGTGAATGGCTGAGATTATCCAGCAGAGTCCTCAATCGGTCCGGATCAGATCTCAAAGGCAGGGGCTTTGTTGTTGCCATTGGTGATCATACAGCTGAGAGGATCACCATGACCTGTGGAGCCCCCGGGGGTTTGACTCAAAACCCAAAAATAAGAAATGCATTTACAGTGTAACAGCAGAAAAGGTACATTGTAGGTAAAAGGCAAAAGTAGAAAGAGTAGACTTACAGTACATATAAAAAAAAGGCAAGCAGACATTATTAAGTTATATTTATTTATTTATATATAAATATTAGATGAAGATATAAAAGCATTGCAGGAGCTGGTCATTTTCACAAATTGTAAACACATCCTTATAAATTGTAAAAATAAGGTGAATATTGCACAACAGTTTAAAAGTCTGTATGTATTATTATTATTATTATTATTATTATTATTATTGCATATGTTGTCCTTCCAGGGACCTCTTTAATTATTTTAACTTAATTGGTTGTATTCTGTTTTTCATTGCTTTCCTTTTTGATGTTCTTGCTCTTTATTGCTCTGTTGTCAATGCATTTAAAAGGTTTTTTGTTTATTTTGTGGAGTGGAGGGGAAACATTTCAATCATGTTTACAAAAATGTACCTAAACACAGATTAAGTTAACATATATTCACTAGTAGCTAGAGGCATATTTCCATGTGAAATCAGTACTGATGTTGTGGACTTTTACCACAGGAAAGCACTACGGCGTGTACAGCTGTGAGGGGTGCAAAGGCTTCTTCAAGAGGACGGTCCGTAAAGACCTCTCCTACACATGCAGAGACAGTAAGGAGTGCCTGATTGACAAGCGCCAGCGAAACCGCTGCCAATACTGTCGCTACCAGAAGTGCCTGGCCATGGGCATGAAGAGAGAAGGTGTGTGTGCAGGTGTGCTATGATTAAGGTTTCGGTCTGGGCATGAGCTCTAAGCTTGTGTTCATGATCTTCTTTTCAATCATTACAAATGCATGTGGAGGGGGATAAGAAATGTTCAACACAGCAGGAGCTCTAGTTTTCCTGTACAGTAAATAGTCTCTTTTATATTATCCACTGCAGAGTCATGTAGTCAGGGACAATAAGCATGGGGTGTTTGATCTGAAATATATGTGTGTGTGTGTGTGTGCAGCGGTGCAGGAAGAGAGGCAGCGGGGGAGGGAGCGGGGGGAGAGCGAGGTGGAGTCCACCAGCAGCTTCAACGAGGAAATGCCTGTGGACAAGATCCTGGATGCTGAGGTGGCTGTGGAGCCCAAAACAGAGGCGTACAGCGAAGGTAGCCCCAGCAACTCGGTAAGAATCACAGCTTGGTTTGGTCAGACCCCTGAATTATTTATCCGTTTTCATCACGAGGCTGAGGTGGTACCTAACAGGGACGAATCAATGTAAGGGTTATTATGTTCGCATGATCAGTAGTGCTCAAATATGTACACAGCTGAGTGAATACGCTCTTTTTCTATGGTGAAGCTGAATGAAGGAATATTATCAGTTTAAGTCTATTCACTCAGGAAAAATGCTGTTCTCTAGTGGTACTCCATCAATTAATCAAGCTACCCTTGTTGTTCTTTTGCAAGGCAGAGAGAATCATGTAAAGGTCAATACATTACCAGTAAAGTGGATGCAGAGTTAATCATTTATGGGTAGCCCTGTACAATCTCATGGAATCCATCTCCTCAAACAGCTTAGCAATAAAACCACCCAAAACTCAAATTGATGAAACTTTAGTGTCAGAAAAGAAGTGATTGATCTAAGCAGTCATTTTTGAGACTGAACATTAGTTAGATTGTATTATACTGTAAGGTGGTCCTCATCTGTCTAGCCCTTTGTGTATTTTGAACTTCATGAATGTAGTAAAACGTTCGCAGAAGGAAATGATGACCCAGAAATAGCCACGGCTGTACCTGCTTACTATCTGCTGTCAGACAAGTTTAGATGTAACTCTGAAGAAGCTCACCGCCAAAGTTATTGACTGTTTTGTTTTTAATTCCTCCTCCTTGTCCCCCTCCAGACCAACGACCCCGTCACCAATATCTGCCAAGCAGCAGACAAGCAGCTCTTCACCCTGGTGGAGTGGGCCAAACGGATCCCTCACTTCTCAGATCTCCCCCTCGACGACCAGGTCATCCTACTACGAGCAGGTACACACGCACGCACGCACGCACGCACGCACGCACGCACGCACACACACACACACACACACACACACACACACACACACACACACACACACACACACACACACACACACACACACACACACACACACACACACACACACACACAGCTATATTGACATGGGATGCACAGTATTCCGTTCTATTCTTGCTTTCTTGCCCTTAAAACTATTACATTACAAGACTTTCTTCCTTCGTTTCTTTCCTTTTTTCAATTTGTGTGTAATACTAATGCTTTATTTTCTTATATGAAACCTATATCCCATCTGCATGTGTTAAACTTGCATCTTTGGGGACTTTCACGGTAGGGGATGGTTGGGAGAAGGCGGAGCAACGCTTGGAAATAAAAACATTGCTTTATCATTGTATCACTTACATGTGTCGTTTAGTTAAAAAAGCATTAAAAAAACAGGCCTCACTACAACCCATTGTGCTGCTGGTACTGTAGCATTTCCCCAGGCAGTGTGTTTGACTCTTTTACATTTGCTCAATACATTTTGGCCATCTAGTTTAATGGAGCAGTGAAACCAAATATAACTGGACTATTTGCCAAATCCCAGCAGTGCTGACCTCTGCTGGTGAGACTTGTCACACACAGGCCTGAAGGGGGGAGGAAAGAAGCCAAACATCAGAGCTATTAAAGGAGAGGTGTCATGGCCATTTCCACTGATCATAATTCCATTGTTGAGGTATACTAAAATAGATTTATATTGTGCAATTTTCTCACATTGGTTTCTCATCCAGCATCTCTGTAAACTACGTGTATTCACTGAATTTCACTCTCTGCCTTTAACGGCTCGTTGTAGCTCCAATAGCTCCAGCCCCCACCCTCCCTGTGAGCACAGTGTGCTCTGATTGGTCAGGGACGTTGTGAATCGCGCTGAGCTCCGTGGAGGTGTTGTTTCCTTGTTTAAGATACACAGCCAAACACAGCCAAACTCATCCTGAGCACACACAAAGTCACAGCCGAAGTAAAAACAATAAGTGTGGCTTGATATTGAGTAAGAAAAAGGTTGATAAACGCTGTGAGAATGGGTCTGCAGAGAGAATTTTGCCGCGATCCCAACTGTCTGTTATCAGCCTGCAGCCAGGGAGGAGAAATCAGCTGAGCTGCCTGCTCCCTGCACACAGATGTGTGTGTGAGGAAGTCCGTGGATTGGTCAATTTGGACCAATCAGCTGGGGTTTAACGTAACGGCTCCGCGGACGTAACGTAACGGCTCCACGGATTGGTCCATTCCGGAAGAATCAAATGGACAATGACGTCTCTCCAACGAGGCGTTTTGGGGAGGTATTTTCTGTGTTAGAGTTTTACTCGCTACAGGGTGTACTTTGAGGGTTTTGACTCTGCACACCGTTTACATGCATAAAAACCTTCATAACACACAAGGGGACGGGTAATAACCGGAAAAGCATGACACCTCTCCTTTAAGAGACTTTGATATCTGATGAATCATACAACGTAAGTAGTACTTGAAGGCAGGGATAACAGGATTTGTGTTCTTTTATTTGTGTTCTGCATCCAGGCTGGAACGAGCTCCTAATCGCTTCATTCTCGCATCGCTCCGTCACGGTGAAAGATGGCATCCTGTTGGCGACGGGCCTCCACGTCCACAGAAACAGCGCCCACAGTGCTGGGGTGGGCTCCATCTTTGATAGGTATGTAGTAATAATAATAATAATACTAATATGTTTATTTATTATACTGTAGCACCTTTCACAGATAATATAAATCACAAAGTGATTACAAGTAAGAACAAAAGTTAAAATTAAGTCCACAGAAACATGAATAATAACCACATGAGGCAGTCATTTAAGGTCAACATAAAAACAAAACACAGACCACGTGGAGTCCTGAGAGGAACAGACATAATAACAGAACACATCACACACATTTCAAATAGAAATAAAAGCCAAAAAGATATGTCAAACTAAATTTAAACTGTTAAAACAAAAATGATTGTCTTAATTCAGTTTTGTTAACACATCTAAAGTGCAGCCTCTTCCTGTTGGTCTCATTTCATTTTGTCAAAAAACACAAATACAGTTTTTTTATTGCTTACATTTCTGAATAGTATTGTGCTGTTGCCAGTCACATGCAGTAAAATGCAAGTGGTTGTTATTAACACAAAACACTGCAGATATTTTGTTTTCTGGGGTAGGAAAACTTTCACCAAATGCTTGTTTCGGCTACTGTTATCTTAGTGGCTTTCATATATGGAATTATGTGTATGTGGCTCAATACCGTCTTCTTCAATCGTCTAAAGTGATTAATTTGATCTCCTGCAGAGTCCTGACAGAGTTGGTATCCAAAATGAAAGACATGCATATGGATAAGACAGAGCTCGGCTGCCTGCGAGCGATCGTCCTCTTCAACCCAGGTCAGCCTCCATCACCGTTCACTTTTACTCAATGTGCCAGACAGCAACGCCACCTTAGATTATCTGTTTTTTTTTAAATAAAGTGATAATGTTTTTTTTGCAATGAAAAGCTTATGCTGTGTAAATGCAATGCATGCGTTAAATGTCATTACCCCAAACTTAACCTGACTGTGTTTTGTTTGTTTCAGATGCAAAAGGTCTGTCGAACCCCCCAGAGGTGGAGGGTTTGAGGGAAAAGGTTTACGCCTCATTGGAGTCGTACACGAAACAGAAATACCCCGACCAGCCTGGCAGGTAGGAAACGCATCACATTACATCAGTCAATATCAGACTCCATGCTTAACTGATGCTATGGTTTATATGTATCAATGTAGATCGCAGATTACATTACCAAACAACTCTAACACACTTGCAACAGCCTTAGATTTAAAATGTAGAGGCTGGTAGTGTTAGTACTTATAAAAGATGGATGCATTTATTATTGTATTTAACTGTTGGGAGCTAAACAAGATCAACAAATCATATGACATAAGGGAGGTGTGTGTGGTGCAGTGGGTTGTGCGTTGGTGTTCGGATCAGGGGGTCACAGGTTCAAACGCCACTGCAGTCAGCATGTCGTTGTGTCCCTGGGCAAGACACTTCACCCCAAATTGCTCCTGTGGTGATTGTCCACAGTATTGAGTATGTGAGTCGCTTTGGATAAAAGCGTCTAACAAGTATCATGTAATGTAATGTAATGTAACATAAGAGCTATCACAATTTGCTTGAGCTGAAACACAAAAAAAGTGTAAGAGAGAATACATTTAATGTAACCCTATAGAGTGCCACAGTGACGCGTCCTAAAACCCGGAAGTAAGCTGCGCATGGGTTCCTTTGACAAAAAAGCAATGCAATTTCTCCATAGGATAAATCTATCTATCGATTAGATTTATGATTCGAAAATGATAAAAGTAGAGTAGACATGTGGAGATTATCCGACTGAACAAAACGTGATCCGTCTCTTAAATGTGTGTCAACCACAGACCTTATTTCCAGCTATTTTCCAAAATCCTATGGAGAAATTGCATTGCGTTTTTGACGAAGGAACCCATGCGCAGCTTACTTCTGGGTTTTAGGACGCGTCACTGTGGCACTCTATTGGAATAATCAGTTCCTTGAGTAGGGGTATAAATGATTCAATGAAACAACACTGCATTAAGAGTAGTTTCTTGGATTCAAAATATTACTATACAGTATATGAAAGGATTTGGAAATAATACCTAAACATTATTGATAAAAAAGACCTGTTATTAAACTACAGATACATTCAACTGTAAGTAGATCTAACTAAATACACTACATGATAAATGAATCATATTTAATGATTTCATTTAATGGATTTATGATTTTTGATTTAAAACTGTTGATTACAGTTGTAAGATACATGTAAAAGTGTATTATTTCCAAACAAAATCAAATCAAAGAAAGTAAGTATATATTCTGATAAAAATGTAAACATAAGACTAAAAGTGTTTTGCATGCTGTAAATAGACACCAGTTTTTTTATTTTGAATGGTAAACATAATATTGATTTTCTCCATAACAGAAAATAATGATCACTTATTCACGTCTCACTACTTCTCACTTTCTTCTTCTTCTTTCTTTCTTCCTCAGGTTTGCTAAGCTGTTGCTCCGCCTGCCCGCGCTGCGCTCCATCGGCCTGAAGTGTCTGGAGCATCTGTTCTTCTTCAAGCTGATCGGAGACACGCCCATCGACACCTTCCTGATGGAGATGCTGGAGGCGCCGCATCAGATCACATGACACCAGCCCCCCCTTCCCCCTGTATATACTCCCACATTGTCAGCGATATGAAGACAGAATATAAAAAGACTTGATTCAAATTGTAAAACAGCATATTTTGTACCAAGCAGAACATTGTAATTAAGACATTTTTTAAAGTATTTTGAGGTTGTGGGGAGGGTGGAGTCTTGAGACGGAGGATCGAGTGCAGTCAAAATGAATTCTAATAGAATTGTTAACTGATATCTCTTTTTGTAAATAGGTAATTTCAGGTGTCCGTTGTTAAAAGCAACCCAATGCAATTTGAAAATACGAATCATATTTTATTCAAAGAGGAATTGTATAAAAAAACTGAAACCATCCAACATTTCTTAAAAGACATTTGAGAATTCTTACAGAATAAAGTTATTTAAACATGTATCTGAAATGCATTGTCTTTTTTTTACCTTATTATCTAATAGTACATTATACTACTGCATCACAAGTCAAGCTATAAGGATTGCACAAGGGAAAGTTCAAATTAATGGTATTTTTTTAATTGTATTTTTTCCTGGCATTCCTTGACTTGATATCTGTTTTTGGGTTTTAAAAAAGCTGCCTTTAAAATCCAAATCCATTTTTACTTTTGATCCTTAAAGGTGGGGTAGGTAAGTTTGAGAAACCGGCTCGAGATACACTTTTTGTTATATTCCATGGAATGCTCTTAACATCCCGATAGCAATGAATATCTTAAGTGCTTTTAACAAAAATGTCATCTGTGGAAGCCGTAATACTGTAAAAAGTACGACCAATCATCTTAGCCGGCCCGGCTAAAATAACTGGATGGCCTACCTGCCTGTCAGCCTTCCATCTGTGCACAAACTTATCTCGTGCCCTCATTGGTCATGTGCGCGTTCGTGTGTGTTGGAGGAGGGGCTCTATAAGGAAGTGGCAGATTTTCTCCGGTTGTGTATTTTAAAATTCTAGCGATCTCGAGCCGGTTTCTCAAACTTACCTACCCTACCTTTAATTATCTGAAATGCATATTTGTTGTGTCTCTAATGAAACACAAGGAGTTTTATTTTAGATTCTTGATGCATAAAGCGTAATCAATGGTGGAGAAACAATGTACACATTTCTGAATGAACAAAATAGTATATAATTTGAAGATAGAATACATTTTCTCTTATTGAATTGATCTCCCTATGTTTTTGTATCATCTCACAAATGTACGGTGGCCGACAAGTGCAAACGCGCTACAACGTCCAACAAATGTGATGCATGCAGCTGGAGACCGAAGCGCTTGTTGATGTTCAAATGATATTCAAATGTTTTTTGGAGCCATTGTAGCGCGTTTGTACCCGTCGGCCACCGTACAAAGGTCACCCAAAATCAGTTCTATTTTCAACAACTGTTCCTTTTATATTTGTTTCTGGTTGTTGTCCACTAGATGGCGTCCACAGATCTTCTCATCATGTTTGATGTTCCTGTTTCATCCTCTTGGCTTCTGTCAGGTTAAAGGACTCGACTGTAGAAACGCCTTATCGTCAATGGGATGGGCTAAATCTAGTCATGGTGTTACACATTGGAGAAAATGTAATGTGAATCTAAAATGTCCAAACGAAATCATTTGGAATACTGTAGAGCTGGACATGGCTTCAATTGTCTTTTCAGAGATATATCAGTCACAAGACTGGAGAAAAATGCATAGTTGGTTAGTGTTTAAACTATGTTGTAAAAATGTGTTAATACATTAAAATAATAATAATAATGATATTAACATAAATCTGATTATTTCAAAGATGTATTGTCGAAGTATCAATACTGTATATCTGCCTGATAAAATTATAGATCAGTGCAGCACTAGTACAAAATAGTTTATTTGTATAATTGTTTTTGTTTGAATTTAAACACCTACATATTTCTAAACCTTTGAAAAATCAAGTTTAACAATTAAAAAAAAATATAAAATACAAAGTTGTAAAAATCAACTGATAGGCTAGCCGCTAGATAGATGGTGAGATCTCTGGCACTTGATTTTTATATATCAAATTTTTGTTAACAATGCCCCAAAAAAGTGTATTAAAGCATCTATCTATCTATCTATCTATCTATCTATCTATCTATCTATCTATCTATCTATCCATCCATTTTTGTAAAGCACTTTGAATTGCCTTGTGTTGAAAGGTGCTATATAAATAAACTTGCCTTGCCTTGCCTTGCCTATCTATATATCTATCTATCTATCTATCTATCTATCTATCTATCTATCTATCTATCTATCTATCTATCTATCTATCTATCTATCTACCTATCTACCTATCTACCTATCTACCTATCTACCTATCTACCTATCTATCTATCTATCTATCTATCTATCTATCTATCTATCTATCTATCTATCTATCTATCTATCTATCTATCTATCTATCTATCTACCTGTCTATCTATCTATCTATCTATCTATCTATCTACTCTTATAATATATATTATCTCTTAAAATGATGACCTTTCAACCTGCACTTTACTTCCTGAGCACTTTATGCATTATTGCTTTTTAATGAAAAACTCTCTGGTAACTTGTGGCCCATCCAATGTGGGGGGGGAGGGAGTAACAGAGAGAGAGAGAGAAACAGAGAGAGAGAGAAAGAGAGAAACAGAGAGAGAGAGAGAGAGAGAGAGAGAGGAGAGAGAAGAGAGAAGAAAATGGGAGACACAGGAAGTCCTCGCCTCTCTGTCTTCTCTCTTCTTCGTCTCTCTAGAGCCTTCTCTCCTCCTCTTCTCCTCTAACCCGCACTCTCCATCTCCACTCTCTCTCTCTACTCTCTCTCTCTCTCTCTCTCTTCTCTCTCTCTCTCTCTCTGTTACTCCCTCTCTCCTTTCCCGTGTCACTTGGCCTAATAAGGAATAATTGACAGAAAGCCTAACTAGTCGATACCGGAGGACAGAGAGAGGTCGTCTGAAGCTCCGAGAGAAACTTTGACGCTCCGAGCAGCAACTTTCAGCCGGAGATGCTCTGAGGAGGAGAGTGACCACAACAACACTTTACAGCTCCTGGAAGATACCTCTTTACAGGTAATGGCGTTCAAACGGAATTAACTATATTAAACATGTTCATTTACGGTATTGGTTTTCCTGAATTGGTTTTAAAAAAGTATTATTTTACCACGTTTCTTCAGAGGACTGCAATGGGGTTCGACAGGCATGCTTAGGTGCGTGAAACTCGATGAAATTATTATATACAGGACACATTTCATTACTAACGTTCAAAGAAAGAAAGTAATTTTTTGTGAAACTTTGAAATGTAACTTCTGTTGTTTGATTTTTTTTTCGCACTATTTTGGCACGTGATCATCATCAGACGAGCGTTTAAGTGTGTCAATTTAAACAACAATTAACTACAATTGACTCTTTATAGTCTCAATATTTAATACTTACTTTTTACAGAAATAAAAACGACCCTTTCTATTACTTTTGCGCATTGTATCGAAATAAACCCGCAGTTTAATGACCTCTTCATCAAACTTTGCTCAGCTAAATTAGCCAGTGTGTGCTGCTGATTGGAAAAGTGTCCTAATTAAAGGATTTCCCCGTCAGATATGGATCAGAGCGCAGTGTGTGCCGGATGCCGCCGGAGCATCACAGACAGATTCCTGCTCAGAGTCACTGACGGCCTCTGGCACGAGGAGTGTGTGCGGTGCGCCGCGTGCGGGGACGCGCTCACAAACTCCTGCTTTCTGCGGGACCGCAAACTCTACTGCAAGAGGGACTATGCTGAGTGAGTGCTGAAGTCTTTGTTATGTTTAGTTTTCTCCTGATGTTAAAACTGAAATCATGAAACACTTGAGCATCACTTTTTCACTGTGGAGAGGCTGCATGGGTTACAGCTTCAACAGGTTCCCCAGGTTAAGCACATCTTATATTAAGCTCCACACACTTGCACTAAAACATTCAAATTTAACTAGGTTGAAAATAATGGGATTTTTTTTATGGACAATTAAACTCATGCTACTATGACAATTGTCCTTAGTGATAAAAAAACAAAAGGAGACCTTTACATTTTTTTAAAGGCTCACAAATACATCATTTTGTTTTAATGTTACATTTTTTGTTGCAACATTTTCTTCTAAAATTCAATATGGTAAAATAATCACAATTAAGCTGCACCTCATTGAAACCAAAATTGTTCAGCACACAGTATAACTTTTCTTTTTCTAGTCCTGTTAAAATGCAGTTTTAGCTTTGGCACATATGTTGCAAACATACTACCAACATTATAGTCCATTTTATAGAAATAACATCAAATTTGGTTTTTCTTTTAATTTAGTTATATGCAGTTTATTTTATTTCTTTGGATTTTATACATCATTCATTTATTTCATTTTTTGGCCCCGTGGTCCAAAGATTACTGCGTGTTATTAGGTCTGTTTTCACAACGGAACCCTTGTCCAGGTCTGACCTTGACTATAAGAACTAAGAACGTGTGTGTGTGTGTGTGTGTGTGTGTGTGTGTGTGTGTGTGTGTGTGTGTGTGTGTGTGTGTGTGTGTGTGTGTGTGTGTGTGTGTGTGTGTGTGTGTGTGTGTGTGTGTGTGTGTGTGTGTGTGTGTGTGTGTGTGTGTGTGTGTGTGTCAGCGACAGACAGAGGGATAGGTTGAAAAGGGAGTGGTGAAACTCTTTTTACTTAAACATATGTTCTTTGTTTTGCATGCTGTTAATATGGGAACACTTCATAGTCTATGGCAAAGGCACTGAGTGTGTGTGTATGTGTGCACGTATAGGTGCTTATTTGTGTGTGTATGGTGTAAGCCGACTTCCAGGGAACTTGGCACAGTGCACCAAGAGAACAAGGTGACTGCAGGAGGAAGGGGAGGCGAGGGAGCAGGAATGTGAGATCACTAGCATAGTGTACATCAACACACACACACACACACACACACACACACACACACACACACACACACACACACACACACACACACACACACACACACACACACACACACACACACACACACAATCACACCTTCACAAACACACAGCACACAACCAGGGGTAGAGCTCAGCTGACACATTGTCAAAAAGTGTTAAAATTTGGAGGCCCATTGGCGTGGCAACTGCAAGCTGGGGACAACATATGGTCGAGTCGAGACGGTCCCTCCCCAAAACTCCCACCATCAACACCCATCGTCCGACTCCCTCCCCCCCCCACTACCTCATCCCCTCATATACCTCCATAACACCTAAACTAGAGCCAAGATAGAAATAGGCAGCAGCTCGCATTATTTCTGAACAATTTAGTGATGGTGGTTTTGCCAAAGAAGCGGGGAAACGAAAAATTCACACAAAACGCTGCTCAGCTCAGTTCAGCGGTGGAAATAATAACCTTCATGTATTCAAGATGTACGATACCTGAGTGTTTTCATCTTATGCTACTTTA